AGTAGCTAAAAGAAAAGGTGCTGGAAAGGGGAAAAACAACACTTCAGAACTGAGAAACTAAAAGAAAGGTTCTGAAAAATTAAAAAGATAAAGTTCCTCTTTGATGTTTAAAACAGATTTCAAATTTTCAAACTATTTTGTGTGTTCTCTCCCCAGTTGTGCAGAGAGCTGGGGTGCTGAGGTGCTGCCTTGGCTCCCCTGGCCCCAGCAGAGGATGAGGGGGGCTGGTGCAGGGACCTGAGGGAGCCTGGGCTAGCAGGGATGAGGGCAGGCACTGAATCCCCCAGCCCACCCTGCTGTGCAGCCCCACAGCCCAGGGGAGGCAGCGATGTGAGCAGGAGCAGATTTCTGTGAGCTGATCCCTGCACAAGGAATGCTTAATAAAACCCCTGATACCATAGTTTTAAATATACATCTTTCAGATGCTGAGATTTACTTTTTGACAGGGATGAGGGCTGGAGGGGAGTCGTCACATTAATGCTCAAACAAAGGGCTGCAAGCTGCACCTCTTGCTTGTAATTCAAAGCTTTCCCTGTTCTACAGGGTGGGCAGATCAGGATCTCTGTTCCATGCTGCCCAGCCCCAGCAATGAGGTGGGTGAGAGACAGGTCTGGTGCCATCCTGCTCCTCAGCCTCCTCCTGTGGCCCCTGGGCCCCAGAGGGACAATGCAGCTCCCCAGCAGCAGCAGGAGGTGCTCCTACAGAAGGGGCTTGCAGGGCCAGCTGCTGCAGGGAGTTTGGCCAAGGGCAACGTGGGCACCACCCTGTCACCAGCTCCTTCCCAGCCAGGCCACCAGGAGAGATGCCAAGGGCATCACCAGGTGCACTGCAACAGGAGCGCTGGGCTTGGCATGAGCTAATTGTGTTGCAAGGAGTGGAGCAAAGCTTTTAGATTCCAGAGCCAACGTGTGGCATCTTTATTAATGTGCCTACTTGAGTTCCCTGGGACGCGATGTTTTCTCCTCACCCTGGCCATCCATCTGAACTGATAACAGGACTATTAATCCATTCTGCTGACAGCACACACAGACCTCCAGTGAGGCAGGAGATGGGGAAGAGGTGGGGCTGCAATCGATGCTTGTTTGGTTCCAAGGGATCCCTCTGACACAGCGAGCGGGAGCTGCAGGTGAACAGCGGGAGGGTGACCAAGGCCACGGGTGATGGCCACAGCTGTGCTCAGCTGGAGAGCCCCTGCAGGAAAGCACTGAGAGATGAAATGTTCTACAGGGGGCACACCTGGAGACCTTGTGCTCCAGGGCACATCACACTGCTCAGGTTCTACACTCAGCAACCTCCTATCAGTTATTGACCCACTTCCCATCCCCCTTCATACCCACACAGAGGTGAAGTTCCTCTAATCCCAGGGCCTTTTCAGCCCTGCCTGGCTATGAGGTGACTGGCACAGCATCCATTGTCCGTGATTTCCTTTACAGCAGCAGAAATACAATGCAATAAATAAAGAGATGCAGGTCTTTTATAGGTATGATCTATAAAGAAATAGTTCAGTAGGAAAAGAGCTGGGAAATGAGGTGCATCCCTGCCCAGCTCTTGCTCCTTTGCCCAGCCCCTGCCAGTAGCTGATCCCAGGCGCTTTTATATTCAGACTGATCCTATCTGGTTTTAAATATCTCAAGCCACAGAACTTTCTCCCTCCAGGGAACCACGTTGCAGTCTCATAATTTTCGCTGTCAGCAGAGGGGATTTTTTCCCCTGTGACATTCAACCTAAATGCTCCATTTCTTCATTTCCTGTCATCCCTTCTGGTGATGGCCCTTGTACTCTATTAAATAATTCCTTCCCTCCCTCTCTATTTACTCCAACCAGATCTGTAAGGCTCTTAGTTTGTCTCCCCACGGACAGCTCTTAACCAAGCAATATATATATTTAAGCCTTTTAATCTTCTTTCGGAAATCAGTCTCTCCGTGCCTTTGATCATTTGTGCGGCTTCCCTGTGAACGGCCGCCAGTCCGTCTGTGCCGAGGGAGCGGCGCTGGGGCTGCGGCCGCACCTGAGCCCCGCAGCGCCGGGGGCCGCCCGGTCCCTGCTGCCCTCGGGCACAGCAGCGTCCCCCGCTGACCCCTGGCCCCAGGCTTTTCTCCGGGGCGTCGCTCTGCACCGTGGCTTGGCTTGGCTTGGCTTGGCTCGGCTCAGCCATCGCTGCCTGTCCTGCTGTCGCTCCGATTCGCCTTTGCGTCCCAGCCGCGCTCGCTCACATCTGTGCACGGCACAGCTCCTTTCGCTGCTTCCTGCCCGCATTTCTAATCTCACCAGGCCCTTTTTGTGTTAATTTTCTATGCTTGCTGGAGCTCACAGCACCTCCCAGTATAGCATCATCTGCCAAATTCATTAATGTGTAGTTTACTCCCTCTTTCCAGGTCATTAATGAGGGTATTAAATGAGAGCGGCCCTAACCTAGATCCCTGCAGTACCCCATAAACACCTCCCCCTGCTTCTAATTACCCTTTGTTTATGATCCCTCAGCCAGGTTTTCAATCCGCATGGCACAGTTCAAGTCATCAGAATTAATTTTTTCATGGAAGATTTCGACAGGGCCTTGCCTCCTCGTGCCGTCCCCACCTGCCACCCCTCCGTGTCCCACTGCCACTCCCCCGTCGGTCACAGTGACCTACGCTGCTGCTTGCCGGACAGGAGAAGGAACACCTGGCAAAGGCTTTTCCCTCTGCCGGCTTTTGTCCCTCTGCTTCAGGACACGGCAGCGGAAATGGAGGCGCCCTGCGTCCCTCCGCTGTCCTGCGGGGAGGAGCGGGCTGCCCTCGGCTGTCCCTGGGCAGTGTCCCTCCCTGGACGGGGGCACCCATGGGGTGCTGTCCCTGGAGGGATGCTGTCTGGGGCATGGAGACAAAGGGCGGATGCTGTCCGGGACAGGTGTCACCGAGAGTGGTGGGTGGCCCCGGACAGATGTTGTGGCGCGGGATGGGATCACGGGGACGGTGTCTCTGAACGGATGCTGTCCCAGGGACTGTGACCGTGCATGGAGGCTGTCCCTGGCGGCAGGCGGTGTCCCGGTCACCCTCTACAGGCGCTCCCAGCCGGGAGGGGCCCGTGCCGCCTGAGGACCCCGCCCAGGCCGGGTGTCCCGGGGTCCCGGGGTCCCGTTGTCTCGGTGTCCCGTTGTCTCGGGGTCGCGTTCTCTCGGGGTCCCAGTGTCTCGGTGTCCCGTTGTCTCGGTGTCGCGGTGTCCCGGTGTTCCGTTCTCTCGGTGTCCCGGTGTTCCGTTCTCTCGGTATCCCGTTCTCTCAGTATCCCCTTCTCTCGGTGTCGCGGTGTCCCGTTCTCTCGGTGTCTCGGTGTCCCGGTGTCCCGTTCTCTCGGTATCCCGTTCTCTCGGTGTCTCAGTGTCCCGGTGTTCCGTTCTCTCGGTATCCCGTTCTCTCAGTATGCCCTTCTCTCGGTGTCGCGGTATCCCGTTCTCTCAGTATCCCCTTCTCTCGGTGTCGCGGTATCCCGTTCTCTCGGTATCCCGTTCTCTCGGTGTCTCAGTGTCCCGGTATCCCGTTCTCTCGGTGTCTCTGTGTCGCCCCCCGCGCGGCCGCGAGATGGCGCCCTTGTGCCTGGGAAGGCGCGCGGGGCCCGACGGCGCGGCCGGGCCGGGCCGGGCTGGGCCGAGCGGGGCTGGGCCGGGCGGGGCGGGGCAGGGCCGGGCCGGGCCACACCGGGCCGTGCCCGCGGGGCGCGGCACCGCCCAGGTGTCGGTTCCCGATGCCAACCACCCAATGGGACCTGTGCCGCGGCAGATGCACCGGACCCCCGCCCCGCTGCCCCCCTCTCCCTTCGCCGCCTGGCCGCTGCCGACCGGCGGGCTGCGGGGCGCTTTGCCGACGGCCGCGCCGGCACCGGCCCCGCTGTAACCCCGGGGAAGGGAACGGCGTGTTGGGAGGTTTCCGAGCCGAGAACTGCCGGGGATTCTCCCGGTGACACCTTCCCCCGGCCCCGTACGGAGCCCCCGGGACCCTGCGGACGGCGCGGAGACGGGAGGTAAGGTACGGGCACACGCACCCGGGAACGCTTTATTTCATCGTTAGGAGGACTCGGTACCGCGGTGGTTTCGCCAGGGATCAGCACGGTGCAGCGAGCGCTGCGGGGCTGGAGCCTCCCGGGGGCGTTGGGCGGTCCCGGGCCCCTCGCCGGCTCCCGGGAACACTGCCCGGTGGGGCGGAGTCCTCCTGCCCCAGAGGGTTCAGTCTCTACTGAACGGACTTGGGGCGCTCCGCGGGACCCGGTGGTCCCCGCGCTGCCCGCGGAGATCCGCCACCGCCCAGTGCGCACTGCCTAAAGAAGTAACCGCCGGTGACCGCGGCCGCAGAGCCAAAACACCGCTGCGTCCGCAGCTCCCTGGCAACAGGACGGTCTCAGCGGAGCAGGGACAGCAGGGACAGAGGGCTCCCGGCTTGGGAAGCGGCTCCGTCCGGTTCCGCTCCGCTCCGCGCGGCTCCGTGCCCGCTCCGCTCCGGTCCGCGCCGCCGGCCCCGCCCTGGCCCCGCCCCCGGCCAGCGGCGCTATCCCATTGGCGGCGGCGCGGCGCGCAGGTCCCGCCCCCAAACGCCCATTGGCTGCGGCCGGGCGCCGCCCGCCCCCGCGCCGCCCGCCCCCGCGCCGCCCGCCGGCGCTCCGGACTGCGGGCAGTGGCGTGCGGCCGCCGCAGCGAGCGCCGGCGGGAGCGGGCTCGGCTGGCTCGGCACTGCACTGCACGGCTCGGCTGCTCGCCTCGCTCCTCGCTCCGGTACCGCTCGGCTCAGCACCCCGCTTCTGCTCCCGCACCCGCTCGCCATGCCCGGCCCTTCCGCGGCGCCGCCGGCACGGAGCGCCTGAGCGGACGGCGTTGGCGTGTGCGCGGGGAACCGCGGCTCCGGTGCCCGCAGCCGCCCGCCCGCCGCCGGGGCAGCCCGGCGGGCGCTGCCCGCATGAGCGCGGCGGGCCGCTGAGGCGCGCGGCCGGCGGCCGTCGGGGCGCGGCGCGGCGGGCGGAGCGGCGGCGCGGCCATGGGGGCTCTCCCGGCGCTGCTGGGGGCCGCCTTACTGTGGGCCGGCGCCGGGGCCCTCGTCAACCTCAAGTACTCGGTGGAGGAGGAGCAGCGGGCCGGCACGGTGATCGCCAACGTCGCCAAGGACGCCCGGGACGCCGGTTTCGTGCTGGACCCTCGGCAGCCCGCCGCCTTCCGGGTGGTCTCCAACTCGGCCCCCCACTTGGTGGACATCAGCCCCGGGTCCGGGCTGCTGGTGACCAAGCAGAAGATCGACAGGGACCTGCTATGCCGACAGAGCCCCAAGTGTGTCATCTCGCTGGAGGTGATGTCCAGCTCCATGGAGATCTGCGTGATCAAGCTGGAGATCAAGGACCTTAACGACAATGCGCCCAGCTTCCCCACTGACCAAATCGAGCTGGAGATCTCGGAGACGGCCAGCCCTGGCACCCGGGTGCCACTGGAGAGTGCCTATGACCCGGACTCGGGCAGCTTTGGTGTGCAGAGCTATGAGATCACCCCCAATGACCTCTTTGGGCTGGAGACCAAGACGCGGGGTGACGGGTCTCGTTTTGCTGAGCTGGTGGTGGAGAAGAGTCTGGACCGTGAGACCCAGTCCCACTACAGCTACGTGATCACGGCGCTGGATGGTGGTGACCCGCCCAACTTTGGCACGGTGGAGCTCAGCATCCGCGTCATCGACTCCAACGACAACAACCCGCTCTTCGAGGAGCCAGCCTACACCGTCAGCGTGCCTGAAAATGCCCCGCCGGGGACGCCAGTCATCCGCCTCAACGCCTCCGACCCGGACGAGGGCACCAACGGCCAGGTCCTCTACTCTTTCCACAGCTACGTCTCTGAGCGGGCCCGGGAGCTCTTCCAGATTGATCCCCAGAGCGGCCTCATCACGGTGAGTGGTGCCATCGACTACGAGGAGGGTCACGTCTATGAGCTGGACGTGCAGGCCAAGGACTTGGGGCCTAACTCCATCCCTGCCCATTGCAAAGTGACCATCAGCGTCCAGGATGCCAACGACAACCCGCCCCTCATCAACCTGCTGTCTGTCAACAGCGAGCTGGTGGAGGTGAGCGAGAACGCCCCGCCGGGGTACGTCATCGCCCTGGTGCGCGTCTCGGACCGCGACTCCGGGGCCAACGGGCGCGTGCAGTGCAAGCTCCTGGGCAACGTGCCTTTCCGGCTCCAGGAGTACGAGAGCTTCTCCACCATCCTGGTGGACGGGCGGCTGGACCGCGAGCAGAGGGACCAGTACAACCTCACCATCCAGGCCAGGGATAATGGCATCCCATCCCTGCAGGCCACCAAGTCCTTCACCGTCAAGATCACCGATGAGAATGACAACCATCCCCACTTCTCCAAGCCCTATTACCAAGTCATCGTGCAGGAGAACAACACTCCGGGGGCCTACCTGCTCTCGGTGTCGGCCAGAGACCCTGACCTGGGCCTCAATGGCAGTGTGTCCTACCAGATCGTGCCGTCCCAAGTCAGGGACATGCCTGTTTTCACCTATGTCTCCATCAACCCCAACTCTGGAGATATCTATGCTCTGAGATCCTTCAATCATGAGCAGACCAAGGCCTTTGAGTTCAAGGTCTTGGCAAAAGACGGGGGTAATCCCTCTCTGCAGAGCAATGCCACCGTCAGGGTGATTGTCCTGGACGTCAATGACAACACGCCCGTGATCACGGCCCCGCCGCTGGTCAACGGGACGGCGGAGGTGTACATCCCCAGGAACGCGGGGGTTGGCTACTTGGTCACCGTGGTCAAGGCAGATGACTATGATGAGGGTGAAAATGGCAGACTTTCCTACGAAATGGTGGAAGGAGACAGAGGATTTTTTGAGATCGACCAGGTCAATGGAGAGATAAGGACCACCAGAGCCTTTGGGGAGAACGCCAAAACAGCCTATGAGCTCATCGTGGTGGCTCATGACCATGGGAAAACATCTCTCTCGGCTTCTGCCTTGATTTTGATATACCTGTCTCCAGCTCTGGATGCCCAGGAGTCCATAGGATCTGTTAACCTCTCCTTGATTTTCATTATTGCCCTGGGGTCTATTGCAGCCATTCTTTTTGTCACCATGATCTTTGTGGCAGTCAAGTGCAAAAGGGATAACAAGGAAATCAGGACCTACAACTGCAGGTAAAGATACCTTTGTTTACGTGCACCTGCGGGTCTGCTTTGATTTTTGCCACCGCGGTTACTTTTGCATTTGCTGCTGTATACTCGGGGGCGGTGAAGAGGGGTGGATTTGCCTGAGCAAATCTGAACAAAACTGAGCTTCCTACCCCTGCAAGAAAATTTCTTGCAAAGCTTTAAGAAATTGCTCTCTGCGAGGAGAGCGCAGAGTAACGAATCGACTTAATCGTGCGGTTTGACAATCTGTTGCAGCACCGCCGATTTGCCGTGCTCCATCACTCGCGGCGGGCAGAGCGGCGTTCCTGCCTTTTCCAGGGGCACGGCTGGATCCCGGCGGGGCTGCCGAGGGGGGAGAGCCCCCGGGCCCGCAGCATCCCCGCAGCAGCCGCTGCCAGCGGCATCCCCGAGCCTCGGCGGGCGCTCAAAGGAGCTATTGTGTGCCCGCTGCGGCTCCCGGCCACGGCACGGCACGGCGAGCAGCCCCGAGCGGCTCCGGCACCGGCCAGGGCTGCCGGCGACGGCTCCGGGGCATTTTTGTGTCGTTTTGCCCCGGCTGGGCCAGCGCTCCTCGGTCCGAAATGCCGGAGGGGAGGTCAGCCCCGCGCCTGGAGCCGCTGAAAGGCTGATCGGGGAAATCCAGTCCCCTGAATATGTAACAGCCTGGCGATTATTGTCTCTCTTTTACTATTCTCTGTGTTACACAAGTTAGGAGACAAATGCTAACCACACATGAATATCAATCAGATGCCATAAAAGAGCAGCTGCAATGCCTCATAAATGGTTTAATCCTGTTACTAGTGAAATAGCCATGACTTCTCCATTCCTTCGGCACCGAGTCGTTTCAGAGAGGAGGGATGGAAATTAATTTTGCTCTACCTTGGAAACGCACGCTCGCCCCTGGCAATTCAGCGGCGCGGGGGGATGTGCGGTCTTTAAAGTTTTATTTACGCAGAAATAATGCCGGAGAGTCGGGGCATTGTACCCCGTTTTCACAGCGTAAAGTGCGTATATAAGCCTTTTTGCTCGATGGGGGAAAAATCATCTGCAAATAAAGGTCGGTCTGTGCTGTATTATGGGATGTCTAGCTTCGAGTGAAAGCTCACAGACCAGATTTCTTGCCAGCTCGGCCCATTAAAAGGGGATGGGACCTGAATGGATAAAAATCATGTTGTGGTGGTGCCCCTAACAGCTACCCACAAACGTATAAGCCCCGGGTTTACTGTGACGGCTTGGGGATTAATGAAGTGCGGTTTAATTAAATAATTGGTCAATAGAGAAAGGACAGAAAAATGAATGCCTGCAGGAAATAATTGGGCTCTCGCATTGCCAAACTTAAACATTTAGGTAAACAAAACAATTAAATCTTCATCAGGCATTGTTAGACGAGTCAGCAGCATATAGACTGTTGGCACAACAGCAGTCCCTGCCTCCCTGTGATTTATCTGCAGGCTCGGGGTGCTCGGGCTGTGATCAGTGTGTGTCTGAGCAGGAGTCAGTGCAGCGGTGGGGAGGCACCAGGCAGGCTCGGCGATCGTGGGGCACCCTCTCCCCACGCCTTTGGGCTTTGCAGTGCCTTGTGTGAGAGATTGTTCACTCGAGCTGCTGGAGACTCTTCACATGACGTGTTAATTTATGAGGCACATATGAGGGCTGTTCGACTTAGTGGCATTTTCATGCTCAGGCAATTGGCTTTCTAGAACAAGAATATTTGTCCAAGATTTGCCTTTCCAGATAAACTGTATTATTTATTTATCCCGTTATTTCTGTTGCAGCTATTGGATTTTTTTTTTTTTTTTTAATGCTGTTGTCATAACAAGAAGAGGAGCAAAATCCTGACTTTCAGATGTGCATTTCTGACTGTGCATGGCATTTGATGTGCTTCCCTAGGAAATACCGAGTTGCCCAGTGCTGTGCATGTACAAATTAATGGCAGGGACTGTTGTGGTGCTCACTGTGGGAAGATGAGCCACAGCCACTCTGAGCCCAGCAGACCCAACTAATGCAAGGTGCAAATAATTTGTCATTATTTGCTTGGGTGTTGTTTTGCAGTAACTTTTTTCCTCTGGTGTTTTGCAGAAGGCAAACAAGGCAGTTCATCAGTTGATTCTTTTGGCAGGTGGGAAGCGAAGAGGGAAGGAAAGGCAGAGAAAAACAAGCTTGCAGTGAAATAAAAAGGTCAAAAAGGATCATTTTTCTTTGCAAAACACACGGTTGTTGTTCTCTGGTTTTGAGAAGGTGAAAGCATTTCCCAGCAGAAGGGGATGTGTGTGTCAGTGTGAGGCAGGAATGGAATTCAATTGGAGAAAAGATCAGGTGTGATCAGGAGACAGTCAAAACACCAGCAATTTAGATAAAGCATTAATAAACAAACAGCCTTTGGAGTGTGAGAGAATTGAGCTTGCCAGCTAGGACTGCTTCTGGGTCTGCTTTATTTACTGCTATGGAAAACGAACCGGGGAAAAAATCTGCTATTCGTTTTGAATTTTCATTATGGGGACCAAATGAAATCACTTTTAAAATCCTTATTATGCATGGAAATGAATGCAGGTACCCTTTTCAGTTCATGGATTTTAACATCTCCATTTTTCTCTTCTGCAGGATGGACTTTACTTCTAGTAACTAAATATCAGCAAATACATAGACTAGGTCAAAACCGAAGCATTCTCCCTTCCCATTTTTTTTTTTACATGTTTGACCTGAAAACGTTATGCATGTGAAAATAAGCTAAAGACCGTGTTGTGCCACCAGCCCCAAACCATGATGTAACGTGCATGACTAAGAACCTGCACGGAGATGGGGCCAGGCCCTCTGGGTTCCTGTGTGGGAGTTTAGTGGGGCAGGGTTTCGGATGCTCTCAGCTTCTCATTTCCCCTCTGTCCCCCAGGATCGCGGAGTACTCCTACGGGCATCAGAAGAAATCCAGCAAGAAGAAGAAGATCAGCAAGAACGACATCCGCCTGGTGCCGCGGGACGTGGAGGAGACGGACAAAATGAACGTGGTCAGCTGCTCCTCCCTCACCTCCTCCCTCAACTACTTCGACTACCACCAGCAGACCCTGCCGCTGGGCTGCCGCCGCTCCGAGAGCACCTTCCTCAACGTGGAGAGCCAGAACAGCAGGAACGCGGGCTCCAACCACATCTACCACCACACCTTCACGGGCCAGAGCCCCCAGCAGCCCGACCTCATCATCAACGGCATGCCACTGCCCGAGGTGAGTGCGGCCAGGGCTGTGCCCGGGTCAGCAGGGGCTTTGCTGAGCTGTGCCCGGGGTGGGCTTGTGCTGAGCTGTGCCTGGGGTCAGCAGGGGCTTGTGCTGAGCTGTGCCCGGGGTCAGCAGGGGCTTTGCTGAGCTGTGCCCAGGGTGGGCTTGTGCTGAGCTGTGCCCAGGGTGGGCTTGTGCTGAGCTGTGCCTGGGGTCAGCAGGGGCTTGTGCTGAGCTGTGCCCAGGGTGGGCTTGTGCTGAGCTGTGCCCAGGGTGGGCTTGTGCTGAGCTGTGCCCAGGGTCAGCAGGGGCTTGTGCTGAGCTGTGCCCAGGGTGGGCTTGTGCTGAGCTGTGCCCAGGGTCAGCAGGGGCTTGTGCTGAGCTGTGCCCAGGGTGGGCTTGTGCTGAGCTGTGCCTGGGGTCAGCAGGGGCTTGTGCTGAGCTGTGCCCAGGGTGGGCTTGTGCTGAGCTGTGCCTGGGGTCAGCAGGGGCTTGTGCAGAGCTGTGCCCGGGGTCAGCAGGGGCTTGTGCTGAGCTGTGCCCAGGGGGGGGTTTGTGTTGAGCTGTGCCCGGTATGGGTTTGTGCTGAGTTGTGCCCAGGGGTCAGCAGGGGCTTGTGCTGAGCTGTGCCCAGGGGGGTTTGTGCTGAGCTGTGCCCGGGGTGGGTTTGTGTTGAGCTGTGTCCAGGGTGGGTTTGTGCTGAGCTGTGCCCAGGGGTCTGACAGTGCCAGCGCTGCCAAAATGGCTCTGTTGGTGCCAGCGCTGCCAAAACGGGCACTGCTGGCTTCTGTGTGCTGCACAGAGCAGGCTTTGGTGGCTTCTGTGTGCTGGACAGGGCAGGCTTTGGTGGTTTCTGTGTTCTGCACAGAGCAGGCTTTAGTGGCTTCTGTGTGCTGCACAGAGCACAGTCTGGTGGTTTCTGTGTGCTGGACAGGGCAGGCTTTGGTGGCTTCCATGTGCTGGACAGGGCAGGCTTCAGTGGTTTCCGTGTGCTGGGCAGAGCACAGTTCAGTGGTTTCTGTGTGTTGCACAGAGCACAGTCTGGTGGTTTCCGTGTGCTGGGCAGAGCAGGCTTTGGTGATTTCTGTGTGCTGGGCAGAGCAGGCTTTGGTGATTTCTGTGTGCTGGGCAGAGCACACTCTGGTGATTTCTGTGTGCTGGACACCCCAGGGGGAGGCAGTGATGGAGGATGGGCAGGGGGGAGCAGCCAGCACTCACCTGTGGGTTCTGGGGCAGCCCAGACGTGTGGCCATGGGTGGATGTTTTGTGCCCAGACACTGCAGAGACCCTCAGAGGTGACCCTCAGGGCCAGCCCAGGCTGTCTCCATGTGCTCCAGAGGCTGGAGGTGGCTGCTTGGCAGGAGGATTCTGAGTGTGGCAATGGCAATGCTCAGGAGAGGAGACACTCTCCTTCACAGGAGTTCTTTTAAAAGGCTGTTGGAAGCAGTGTTGGTGGCTGTTCTCTGGAGGCAGCTGGCCCTGCTGGGGGTGCAGACTGTGTGGGATGTCCCATTGTGACCACCTGGCCTAATGCTGTCCCTGCACTCTGCAGGACCCTGGCTGGCATGGGAGGGATGTGTGGTACCTGCCAAAGGCAGGGAAAGGGACTGCCCTGATCCACACCATCCTCATCAGTTTCTTCTAATTCTTTGGCTTTCCTGTACATCACAGGCATCATTTAATGTTGCTTGTTTGTCTCTCTTTGAATTATTGTTTGGTTTTAAGCAAAACAATCAAAGGTTTGTCATGTTTCCTGCTTTGAACAGAATAACAAAGCTGAAAAAGCAGCTGAAATATTTATGGCTCACTCTGTTTTGTGTTCAGTGTGCTGGTGTAAATGCAAAATGCTGTTGCTGAAGGCAGTGGAGCCGCTTCAGATTCATCCTGGAGCTGCAGAGAGCCGAGCCCAGTGCTCTGCAGGGCTGCTGGAGAGGGCTGGTGCTGGGGGCCTGGTCCTGCTGTGGTGGTATTGGCAGAATGCTCACTGAGCCCTGGTGTTTGACCTCCCCTGAGGCAGAACCAGCTCTGAGAGGTTGTGTATCAGTGTTGGCCCACACGAGTGACCACTGCTGTTGTGGGCAGTGGTGCCTGAGGAATTCCTGTTTTCCTGGAGCAGTGTCTTCTGGAGAGGACTCTGGAGTGCATCTCTGGCTGGTGCCTTGCTCTGGGCACTGGAGCAGTGGAGCATCCTGTCAGCCTGTGGTTCACAAAGCCCATCACAGGCTGGCATTCTCCAGGAGTGCAGGCTGGCAGTGGGCGGTCCCAGGTGCCAGGGAGGATGGAGGGACCATCAGGAGCATCAGAACTCAGGTGATAAAGTTAGCAGGCAGCTGCATGCAGAAGGCTCTGCTGCCTGTGCTTCTCTGTGATGCAACAGCTGGGCTGGGCTCTCATGGAGTGTGGCCTCCAGAGATGTCCCTGCCTTGGTCACCCTCTTGTGAGGGACACGGGATTCTTGTTTCTCCCTGTGGCTGCAGCTCGCCCCATCTTCCCATCACTCGTGCAGGTGAGATGCACTGTGCAGGGCTGGTAGCTTGCCTGGAGAAAGAAGTCTGTCTCTTGTAATGAGTGGCTGGGGTGTCAGTGGAGCAGCAGCCCCGGGAGCTGGCCGAGGGCAGCAGGCAGCTCACCAGTCCTGCCAAGGCTCTGGTGTGAGAGAAACACGTCCTGGCAGGGTCTGCTCCCCCTCTGGAGGTGCTTCTGGACAAAAGGGCAGGATCAGGGTATGGGGTGGAGAAATCCCAATGGGAAGCTGTTTGGAAGTTTAGTTCAGGGTGGGAATGTTGATGTTTTTTGGCAGAACCCCCGTGTTATGCTTCCAGCTGTTGCAGGCGCAGCTATCTTGCTGGTGGTTGGGTTCTGTTGGCTCCTAAAACTCCCAGTGACCCCTGAGAGCGAGGTGGTTCTTTGGTGCTGGAGTGCCAGCCCTGTCCTGGCCCTCGGGGTGGCACAGACACTCTGCAGCAGCTGTTCCCAAGGGGGAGCAGGCAGCCCTGAGCCCCGGCAGGAGCAGGGAGCCCTGAGCCGGAGCAGCGCTGTGCTGTGCTGTGCTGTGCTGTGCTGTGCTGCTCTGGCTGTGCAGGGTGCTGTTGGCACAGCTCCGGGGGCTGAGGGTGTAATAAACACAGTCCCTGCCCCGAGTTTACAGAGCCAGAGCCTTCCCTGCAGTGCTTGCAGGGCTGCTTTGTCTGGGCTGGTTTCAATGGCTCCCAGCGATGAAGCTGCCGTTGTTTCCCCGGGGAGGCTCTGAGAGGTGCCAGCATCAGGGAGAGATCATTGCTGCTCCACCCAGGAGTGACTTTTCCTGATGGGAAGGCAAAGCACAGGTTGAGAACAGATGAAATACGAGGTAAATGTGTCTGTGGCAGTGTCACTTGGCATATGGTGGCTGTGGCTGAGGGTAAGCTATTGCCTCTGCAGGCACGTGCTGCCCCAGCAGCGGTGGGTTTGTGATGTGGCTGGTCTTTAACGTGAGCCTCATTTATTTTAACAGTCAGGAGCCTTGAAATAAAAGTCCCCAAGGATGGCTTGTTTGTGGAGCTTCAGGAAATGTTTCTTCTAGTGTGGTGGCAGGTCTCGGGGCTGGGAATAATTGGGTTTGTTGGTGCTTCTCATCTTTCCCTGGTGATCTGGAAAGGATTAAAGAGTGGTGTCTGAGGGGCTGCAACCCCGCTCTGAGGATGCAACAGAAGTTTGAGCCCACCCTTATAAAGCTTTTCCCTTTGGCTGGGGCTGGGCTTGGCTGTCAGCTCTGCTTGTGCCAAGAGAGCAAGGAGGGGATATCCTGGGCTGCTCTGGCCCTGCTGGGAATCAGTGGGTGCCAGGGAGCCACTCAGGGCACTGCCCACAGCCCCTCAGTGCCCTGTGGCTCTAGGCAGTGATGGCAGGAAGCGTTTGTGAGCAGCTCTGGTGATCCTGGCTGACAGCAGGAGGCTTGGCCCCTGTTAGTTCAGACTTGTCTTGCAGCAGGGAGCGTGGGACATGTTGGAGCTGCAAGGGCATTGCTGCTCTGGGGCTTTGCTGCTGCTGAGAGCTCTTTTTCATCTTCCTTGAGCTGGAGGAGAAGTCAGCTTTGAAACCAAAAGGGCTTGTTGTCAGGTTTTGCATGCATATTGCTGGGAGTTGTACCAGGAGATTAAAAATCAAAATTAATAGGAGCCATTAGGCAGCTTCCTTGATAAAAATGTGTGTTGCATTGGGCTGGTGTGGAAATCGGTCTGAATGCTGAGCCTTTTAGGATGCAGGGCACATGATCTGCATGTAGAGCAGCCACCCTTGGGTAGCACTTACATGCCTGCACCTTGACTTGGTGGTTTAAAAGTAAACAGTGTGCGTGTGTGATGGCTGTATCTGTGCTTCAGAGGCAGTTTTACATCCCAGATTTGCACTGCTTTGGGGGATGGTGTTCATTTGCTGCTCCAGGATGGGAAACACCCTGGGGACAGCAGCTCACTGTCCCCAGGGCTGCCCTGGGGGCACCGTGGTGGCAGGGCCCGGCTGCCAGAGGCCAGGAGCTGTGACATGGAGAGGGAGAGCCCTCTTTGAGAGGCTGTGTGTGCCAGGGTGGAACTGGCAGGGAGGTTCTTGGCTGGCTCTGGGATGGCTCTGTGGGATGGCTCTGTGGGATGGCTCTGTGGGATGGCTCTCTGGGATGCTCTCTGGGGTGGCTCTGTAGGATGTCTCTATCTCTGGGATGGCTCTCTGGGATTGCTCTCTGGGATGGCTCTCTGGGATGCCTCTCTGGGATGGCTTTTTGGGATGGCTCTCTGGGATGGCTTTTTGGGAGCCATCTGTGGGATGGCTCGGTGGTGGCAGCGTTGGGAGGGAAGTGGCAGCCCTGACAGTGCTCTGTGAACAGAGCATGGATCAGGTGTGCTCCTGCTCTGGTTCTGCTCTGGTAGGGCCCACTGGAGGAGAAGGTCAAGGTGGAGCAGCCTCTGACCCAGCAGGACCCACACACCCAGCAATGCCCAGCACCGGGGGCTGTGGCCATCCGCTGCCTCCGGAGC